GCTGGTTGGTTTTACCTGTGGCCGTTTCTCGTTACCTTGCCACCCTCCCACTTTGAAGGAGAATCAAGGGAAAGATGGGAATTCTCTCCGGCAGGAGCGAGCACTACCGCCTGGCGCCCTCTGCTGTTCAAACAACGCCAGGCTCCGCCGCAGCTCTTCACCCCGCGGTCTGCGCCAGCCTGGTCCTGTCGGGTCTGGGTCTCCCGGAGGAAGAAGAGGTGCATTGCAGATGAAGACAGCCGTCTTTCCTCCGCTGCCACACCCATTTCGGATTCCAGTTCTCTCCTCTTTCCCATCTACCACTCTGCTCGGACTCCCAAACTGTTTCTGAGGAAGGAAAACATTAGGCTTCAAGAAATTCGTGCAGCTCATGATTAACCCGTCAGGTCCCAGCCTGATACCTCAGGTCCTTTTACACATGAACAATGGTCATTAGAGAAGGTGGTCAGAGACCAAGATTCTAACAATTGTGTGACCTCAGTTAACTTGACTCAACAAATGCTTGATCTCCTGCTATGTGCAAAGTGCTCTGTTAAGCTAACCATGTAAAAGGGTTGCTACCTGCAAAGGGTTCACGAGCCTAGTGCAGCAGTAACATCTGGGGAAGATGTTGTGTTAGATGGGCGTGTGATCCGAGCCAAGGACGGTCACTCTCCACGCAGGCTGGCTGGTGAAGCTCCAGAGCCAGGCACATTCCCGACTAATGGAAAAAGGAAAACACCCCAAGTTCATGGCAAGACGTTTTCTCAACTCTCCTCCCCCAAATTAGGATCCCACCACTTGAAATGTCCTTTGACTTAACAAATATAAATGTAGCAACTAAGTGCCAGGGACTGCGCTAGGCTCAGTGGCAACAGCTCTCTGCAAAATGCAAGCCTTGCATGCACGGGCCCTGTGGTCAGTCCGCAAGGAGCCACAGACAGACCCACAGACTTCACACAGTGTGAGGAGGCCCTCGAGACCTTCCTCTGGTTCACATTCTGATTTGCTTCCAAGCAGAAAGAGGAAAAACAAGGGCGGGATCTTCTACGGGCATGGTCCAGAGTCAAAGTTGGAATAACCATTAGTGTGGATTTCGCCCAGGCTCTTGGTCCTTGCTAGAGGAATTTAAAGAGGAAGACTAGGTAGAGACGGGCTGGAGAGCAAGGTGGGTGAGTCAGAGTAAGCAGGCAGGTGGTGAGCCTCTGACCTTGAGGACAAGGTTTCACAATGCTTTCCCAAGCCTCTGCCTCTGCACTGAATGCTGAGCTGGAAAGAGCACCTGGGGCCAGTCCGCTGTCACTGTGTCTGTGACCTTACACGGCCTTCCTGTCTCATCCGGAAATGGAAGTAAGTGACCCCTGCTCGGCACTTGCCCCTGGGGTTTCGGAGGAGCAAATGAAGGGGTTTGCAGGTAGTTTATGTCCACTACGCAGAGCTGCCCCAATCCGATGTCATCGCTGATATCAGCAACACCTGGGCCCCCACCAGCCCTTCCAGATAGAGAGCCTGCAGTAAAGCCTCACTGGCCACGTTTCTCTCCAACTTCCCCACCAAAGTCTACCAGGGGTGTCCAACTTTTTGGTATCTCTGGGCCACACATTACATACACAAACGCTAACGAAAACTAATGAGCAAAGGAAAAAAAAAGGTTTTAAGTAAAGTTCTGATTTTGGGCCGCATTCATAGCCTTCCTGGACAGCGTGCGGCCCCTGGGTGGCAGGTTGGACACCCCCCAAACTAGGAAGATTTGAACAATGTACTTAATGCAGTTGAGATGTGCTGAGGGAGAAATAGGGCAAGAACGCCTCTAAGCAGCGGTTTGGAGGGTTGCATGAGAGTCCTGCGTGGGGCCAGTTTGTGAGACCCCACTTAAAACTTTGAAACATTGGAACCCGACGTTCACTCTGCCACTGTCCTGTGTCTCCTCTCTGAGACTCCTGGCGTGGACTCGCTGTGCTGCTCCCTTCGGGCTGGGTTCCCCGCAGGCTGGTGACGACACTGAACAAAGTGGGCTGCGTTCCCAAGTCGTTTTTACACCAGAGTCCTTGTCTGAGTGGAAGTGGGAGGGGCGAGGGCAGTGTTTCCTGTTTGTTGGAGGCTGGTCATTAAGCTCAGCCAGGTGCCACCCTGGACACTGTACAGACGTTGTTTAATTCCATCCTTCGCACCGGACAGTTTGCCCAGCGAAGGTAGCGGGCACGTCTGCCTTCCTCCCCGCCAGACGGCACCGCTTAACCAAGGGTCAGCTCAAAAAGTCGTCATCAGTTAATGAGCCCTTACACCGAACAGCCTTCCAGGTGGGCATTATCGCCCCCAATTTATGGATAGAACCGAGGCCTGAGTGACTCCAGGGATGTTTTCAGGCCAGGAGGGCGGGTCTGGCTGAGGGTCCTGCTCGGCGCGCTGCCCAGAGCCTCCGCTCTCAGAGGCAATGGCTTTTACCGCTTCGTAATCATTTTCCAGAGAGTTTGCACTCCATCTGTATTTGAAAACAGGACCTAGGCAACTAGTGTCAGTCGTTGCCCAGAAGTGTTACAGTGCTTTATAGATCTTTGGGTCCTATTTCCAGATTCTGCTTATGAACCGGTCCTCAGTTCTTGGGAGAACTGCAAGGAGGACAAAGACCAAACAGTCATTCAACCGACATGTACTAAATGCCCACCGTGCAGGAGACCCACACTCAGGGCCCGAGGCACAAAGATGAATAACAAGGGGCCCGCTGCTTGGAAAAATTTACAGTTTAATAGCTCTGGCTGCACCTTTTCTTCCTTTAAAGGAAAGTCATTACAAAAGTGAGACATTCTGACTGCAGAATATTTGGAAAGCCCAGGTGAGAAGAGAAAGAAAAGAATCACCGGAAGTCCAAACAACACTTTATAAACGTTGGAGGCAGGGCCTGCGTCTTAGTGTCTCTGTGGCCGCGCAGCCTCAGCCCGGCCGAGGGAGGCGGCAGTAAGTGTCTGTTGGACGGGGAAGGCCGCCCTCTATCCCACCGCCCTGAGGTGGCCACTGTAGAGACTGGGCAACATCGCTAGTCTCTTTTTCTCTGACTGTGAAACCACTGGTTCGGACGTCACTCCTCCTGCCTCCCCCGTGTGATGCGGTGGTGCCCACCATGTTTGAGTAGGCCTCCACCACGTCTCCTCACACACAGGGGCCTCTTAGGTGTGGGAGAGGCAGAAACTTTTACCAGATGCCCTCACACCTCCCCCGCCCCAACCCGGAAAAGCCTCAGGGGCAGGAAGCTGGCTCCTCTGAGATCTGCCCCCTTGGATGGAGGGGGACTTTCAGGAGCTTTCCTCGAACGTGAGGCAGCTTTCAAAACTCCTGATGCCTGGGTCGCCTTTGCACTAATTAAACAGAATCTCTGGGCATGAGGCCCATATATCGGTTTCTTTGTATTTTTAAAGCCGCCTGGGTAAAAGGCTGACCCACTTCCACTAAACCACTTTAGAGGAAGGCAGATTTAGAGGAAGGCACTTTAGAGGATTTAGAGGAAGGCAGCCAGTGGTGCGAGGGGCCTTTAGAGACGAGCCCCAAGACGCTCAGCCCCGGACGCAGCGCGGTGGGAGTGCTCCGCCGCCTCGGGAAACACCGGGGCAGCGCCCTGGGCAGAGGGGGGCCCACGGGAGGACACGGTGTCTTTGTTCCAGAGGGTTCCTGTGGGTCCCTGAATGGGGGGAGAACACACAGGAACCATGTTCGTGTATGCAGTAAATACAGGGAGCTGACTGTGAGTGCCCCAGAGGGCTATCAGAAAGGCACCTGAGCTTTCTGGCTTCATTATGGAGGGAAGAAGAATTTTGCAAGATAAGTAATCAGAGATAAGCCACTATAACAACGGGTTGCCTAGTGTAAGGGAGATGATTAGAATTAGACAATTTTTCTTTACGTAATTAGTCACTGAAGACTTGTTACTTGTCAAGCACAGTGCTAAGCACTTGACATGCAGTATTTCATTTCATCTTTGCGGCACCATTTTGCACCGAGTATTATTTATTCCCATTTTATAGTAGAGGAAACCGATGCTAGGGATTTTCAAGTAATCAGCGTGCAATCACACTAAATGGGAGAGGTGAGCCCAGCATCTCAGACTGCAAAGCCCATGCATGGTTTGTTCATCCTGCCAGGGTCCAGCCAGACTTGCGTGATTTGAGGTAACGCCGAGGTGGCAGGAAAATCAAGGCTCCGTCCTCCTGAGGAGTGGAGACTTCCCAGCATGACCCACTGGCCGGAAGGCGCTTCCTTCTGTGAAGATGCACGGGGCGAGGCAGCGGTCGGCAGGCTGTGCAGGGGGTCTCCAGCAATGCCTCTGCCGCCCAGCCATGCCGCCAGACTGGTCGCCCAAGTGGCCTATGCCTCTGTTTTCACACCTGAGCAGCCAGAAGGGCTGGAGCCCCTGGGTCGGCAGTTTTTAGGTTGCCCTGTGGGGGCCTGGGGTACAGGAGGCCAGGCTGGGGAACGGGGTGGGGGCACGATCATTCTCATCCCCCTTCAACCAGGCAAGCTCTGCCTTTATCTGCCTCACGAGACCTTTCCCTGCCTGAGGGGAGGGGGGAAATTCGGGAGGAAACCACTGGGTTAGCGGTTAGTGACAATGGCAATGACCCTTCCAATCTGATAAATGTCAGGTGCTCTGTTTCTGAAAATTCATGGTGCTGGGAAGAATCAGAGCCATCATGACACTTGGGTGGATGTAGAACAGGGTGGGCGGGAGATGGCCTTTTATGCGTGTGGCAGGGAGGAAGGGCCACGGAGGCGAGGGAGGACAGGAAGGGCAGCACGGCCGGCAGGGCTCCCACTCACGGGAGTGCACGTGACCCACCAGAGCAGCCGGGAGAGCGAACCAGGCGCCCTCGTTGAGGCCCTGGTGGGGACAGGGTCACAAACCGCAGGGGCTGGGCTCTGGGCTTCATCCCCCTCATTTGTGCTTCTTTTTACTCAGTAGAGTAGAAGTCTCCTGTTCTCTTTTAGTAGGCTAGGATTTCAACAATCTTCTGTTTCTTTGTGTTTTTCAGATCTTAAATCCAAATTTCATCCAAGAAGGTGAGTTTAAAAAGTGGTCGAATTGAGAACACGGGGCGTGGCTAAATAACTCAGGGCAAACCCAGCGCCGAGCTAGAGCCTCGCAGCCCGCGCGGCCGCTCCGTGCGCACCGCCAGGGGGCGCGCTGGCCACGCGCTGGGAGGCGGAAGGGCCGCAGCGCGCGGTTTGCCCAAGGGGTTCAACTTGCGTTTTAATGTTGAATTAAAACCTGAAAGGGTATTTACCGGAACGTTCACAATAGTTACCTCTGGATCATGGCATCGCGGAGCCTTTTCTTCTCTCTGCTTATCTGTGTTTCCTGTTTTGTCTGCAGTAAACATTTACTACCGTTAAAATGATTTTTCATGGGACACGGCTTAACCAACACTGTTAAGCTGAAGGTTGTTTGAATTGTTACACACCATGGGCGGGAAATGAGAGTAAAGTGCTATAAAATAACTGTTTTATGCCAAGTCCTGACTGATGTGAATTTATGTCAATTTAACCACAGTGGCCCCAGAGTTCCTTGTGCCCTTAGTGGATGTGACCTGCTTGCTTGGGGACACGGTGACACTGCAGTGCAAGGTCTGTGGGCGACCAAAGCCCACCATCACCTGGAAGGGTCCCGACCAGAGCATCCTCGACACTGACAGCAGCTCGGCCACATACAGCCTGTCCTCCTGGTGAGCGGCCCACCCCTCCGCACCCGCGGCAGTTTGCGCAGCGCCCAGAGGCTAGTTCTGGGCTGCAGCCCTGTTCCCGTGACTTAGTTTCTCCCAGAGAAGAGCTGCCCTGGAGCCTATTCCAGAGCAAACGCTTGGCCTTGACTAGGAGAGAGAGCGCCTCAAAAACCCTGAGTGGCTCACGACTGCGCTCTGTGCCCGCACGGCGACGGTCCCCAGGCCGCGAGCTGGGCACAGCCTCAGCCTGAGGGACACCCGGGCCGTGACCCGCACGCACTCACCTGCGGCTCAGCATTGTGCAGACATACTGAGGGTCGGAAAGGATGTTTCAGAAAGGCTGCGCCCTGCACCCACGTTACACAAAAAACAACACACACGGACCTTCACTCACGCAGGTCAAGCCTGAGCCATCCTTTTGAAGAGCTCTACAGTAACTGACTGACCTTCAGCCTATTTGTCTAACTTTCTTGCCCTAAGGATTCCCAAGAGAACGTCTGTGTCGGACGCGAGGAGGCCGCAGGCCGGTGGTAGGAAGGTGGTCCTCACGTCTGCATGTCTGGACGTCCCGGCGTCCTCTGTGCCTCCTCAGGGTCCCGGGAAACAGGGATGTAATCAATATTTAGCTCTCCCACCAGCCTGAGAACAGTTCTCTTACCAGAAAAGACAATAACCCATTCCAAAATGCGTAACAGAAAACAGAAAACCCAGCCACAGCATGCTTCTGGGCAAAAAGGGTGTTTCACAAAACTTGGCTGACTGCCTCCCAGTGATCCTATTAATATTTATTGCTGCTAAGTGTGAGCTTTACTATGGACTACTGCTCGCAGTGCAGAACAGTAACAAGCCCTAACGCTTAGCTCAAGAAGCATCTGTGGGGGAAACACCGAAGACTGAGCCTCTTTCATCCACTAACTTAACATTGGTGGATGTACAGGCAATAGTAAAAAAAAATAAAATAAAATAAAAAAAGACTAAAAAATGAAAGTGTGCAAGCATTTCAAATTCTACATGTGTAATCCTCCAAAAATTAGGTGAATTAAATAAAGGGCAAACTCCTCCAGTGAACAGTGGCTGACTCGGCAGGCCCAGCTGGGGGCCTGGATGTCGCACTGGAGGGGCTGCTTGGAAGGGGCCCAGCTCAGCCACTTGGTGTCGCTGTGGAGCCTCCCCACCCAGGCCCTACAATACCAGTGAGCCCGAAGGAGGTGAGCATAAGGGTCAGTGCTCTGCGCCCATCGTGAGGGTCACTGCTGCATCTCAACCGGGTGGGGGGGGGGGGCTGACGGGGCCTCTGAGCTGGGCCCCTTCCCAGCAGCCCCTCCAGGGCGAGGTCCAGGCCCCCAGCTGGGCCTGCCGAGACAGCCACTGTTCACTGGAGGAGTTTGCCCTTTATTTAATTCACCTAATTTTTGGAGGATTACACGTGTAGAATTTGAAATGCTTGCACACTTTCATTCTTTAGTCTTTTTTTTCTTTTACTATGCATTTTCGATCTGTAAGACTTGAACTATTCAGAACAAAGTTGCAGGGGTAATAATAGGAGTAACACTGTGAACCAGTGCTTGTATTGGACTTTACGGATTTCAAACTGCGTTCTAATTCTTATCTCATTTTACTCTTTTTCTATCCCTATCCCTCATATACAATAAGCTTGAGAGAGGGGCATGGCAAAATTTTTGCCCCATAACTAAGGAAATGAGAGTGTAGGGAGGCGACCGCCCGAGGTGTGCACAGACCTGGGCTGGCCCTTGGGCCTGAGGACTCAGCCTGGCACCGGCGGTGCCAGCCCCTCCCTGTCCATTGCCCCACCGCGGGAGTCTGAAGGCGTCCTTTCGGTGTCCCTAGTGACTCCGGGGAGATCACCCTGAAGATCTGTAATCTGATGCCCCAGGACAGTGGGATTTATACCTGCATCGCCACCAACGACCACGGGACCACGTCGACGTCCGCGGCAGTTAAAGTACAAGGTGCAGATCCTTTTTAAAGCGCGTTTTATACTTGTCAAAATATTTGCTTTTAGCCCTGGCTGGCGTAGCTCAGTGGATTGAGCGCGGGCCTGCGAACCACACGATCGCAGTTCGATTCCCAATCAGGGCACATGTCTGGGTTGCAGGCTGGTCCCCTGCAGGCCAGTTCCCAGCAGGGGACGCACGAAAGGCAACCATACATTGATGTTTCTCTCCCTCTCTCCTTCCCTTCCCCTCTAAAGAAATAAAAAATAAAATAAAATAATTCATTTAAAAATATATTTGCTTTTATAGTCATAAGATACGCATAACAAAAAATTCACCACCTGTAACCGTACAGTTCAGCAGTGCGAGGTGTCCTCACACCGTGGCGTGACCAGCCTCCCTCCTCACCCCGCAGAACTGAAACCCTGTGCCCGTCCAATAACGCCCTGCACCCCAGCAGTCCCGGTCTTCTCCTCACTCCCCGCACGTGTGTCTGTCAGGCGTTTTCCGTGGGCGTTACCAGGGCTCCCTGAGACCTGGGCGGGTGGGGTTCTGGGAGCCCTTGTGAAAGTCCCGAAGTAAGTTTTAGCAGATGGGAGCAGAAGAAATCTTCGCTAAGAGATTTCTGTGTTCTGCTCTCCACCTCCAACGAACTTTCATCTCCCAAGTGCCGGAATTAGCCCAAGGAAGAATTTCTTCTTTTTTGAAAAACTTTTATGTATTAATTTTAGAGAGAGGTGCTGGGAGGGGAGAGAGAGGAGAGAGAGAGAGAGAGAGAAAGAGAGATTTGTTGTTCCACTTATTGATGCATCATTGGTTGGTTCCTGTATGCGCCCTGACTGGGGATCAAACCCACAGCCTTGGTGTATCGGAATGACGTTCTAACCAAGGAAGGATTTCTGACAGCAAGGTGTACCTACCAGGTCATAGGAAAAATTCGAGATGCAGATTAGGTAACATTTCCCAAGTTCTGCAGAAACAGCACCTGACCCTCATTTCTGTCCCCAAAGGTGTCCCAGCGGCCCCTAACCGCCCCATCGCCCAGGAGAGAAGCTGCACCTCCGTGATTCTCCGCTGGCTGCCCCCGTCCAGCACGGGAAACTGCACTATTTCCGGTTACACCGTGGAGTACAGAGAGGAAGGTGGGCCGTCTGGTTGTCTCCTCCTTTGTAACAAGGGCCTTTGAAGACATAAAACTATTGCTCCTGAGCCCTTTACCAGCTGGTCCTTCTTGTGTCTTCCAACTCAGCGCCAAGGCCTTAGCGCCGGACTGCAGCGCCTCCTCGGGTCCCATACACCCAGCAACCGTTCTTGACAAAACGACAGCTGGTGGCAGATTTCAAAGTGCCTTCAGGTGCCCATCCCTGCCTAACGAGCACAGCCCCGCAGGCAGAGACCGTCAGGCCCGTCCTACAGATGAGGAGGCTGAGGTCTGAAGCACAGAAGCAGGAGGCTGCAGTTAGAGTCCAGGTCTCCAGTTTGCTAACTTGTGATCTTTCTCCAGGAGTACCAACTAGGGGAGCAGGGACAGAGCTCTACCCTACCCCCCCCAGTTAAAATGTATATATATATATAGAGAGAGAGAGAGAGAGAGAGAGAGAACCTTTTAAACACATTGCTCACTTTTTAAATTTGTGACGTTTACACACTAAAAGTGCACACATTTCTTCAGCAGTTGTAAGCAACTGAGCTTGACACCTACTTACAGAGAAGAATCAGCTAAAATGATAAGCTGCCAGGTGGCCGATTGTTAAGAACACACGTCTGAACCACACCGTGAGTTACATGAGGGAGCTGAAAGTGATGCTTGCACCCAGAACCAAAATCGTGTGCTACTGTACTGTCCGTTCCTCTTACTACTTTAACTCTTCTTTCTCCTGGGAGAGTGCCGGAGCTGTTTGTTTATTCCTGCTCTTCCTCAGGCTGTTCATCCCTGTGTCTCCCGACTCAGCACAAAGGCGTTGATGCTGAGCGGCGGGCAGGGCTCACGAAGTCCGTCTCCGCCTCAGCAGTGGGCAGTTGTCCTGTGGAAGCTGTTCGGGCTCTCTGAGTTTTGATCGCTTCCCCTGTAAAGTGAGGCTGCCGCCCCTGACCTGGCAGCGTTCCTGTGCGTTTAAGTGAGAGAGTGAAGTGAGGGGTTTGTGTGAGGACGCCTCCCGCGGCATTTTGCAGGCGTGTGGTGCTCAGTACGTGCTCATTTCTATTTTGCTTCGATTTCCAAATGCAGCTTCTCAGTTTTGTTGTTACCCTCTGTTTTTCTGGCCTTATTCAAAACTGTCCCGTGTTCCTCTGTAACTTCCATGCGGTCCCCAGGCTCACAGGTGCACTCTGGAGATGGCTGCGGCCACCTGCTCCCGCACCCCCTGTGGTGTGTTCCAGTGTTTGGGAGAGTAAACCAGAGTCTGCCAGAGCTCCACACAGTGACCATGACTGTCCCTCGAATGGAATGTGCCGATTTTCCTTTCTTTGTTTGCTGAAGGTCTCTGAAACAATGTCCCTCTGGCTTGCTCTCTCTCTCTCTCTCTCTCTCTCTCTCTCTCTTTCTCTGCTTGGAAATTCCACACTAGGTTCCCAGGCCTGGCAGCAGTCGGTGGCTTCGACCTTGGACACCTACCTTGTCATTGAAGACCTCAGTCCCGGGAGTCCTTACCAGTTCCGAGTCAGTGCCAGTAACCCCTGGGGGATCAGCCTTCCCAGTGAGCCCTCGGAGTTCGTGAGACTTCCAGAATACGGTGAGTCCGGGGCACGCCCAGGACCCCAGCCGGTGGCCGCACGCTCGCCGGCACTGTCTGTCCACCGGGGTGTCAGCGGCCGTGCGGCAGGCAGCCCGGATTGGCTCGGTGGCCTCTGTCAAGTAACATGTCAGAGGGCTGGTGAAGAGTGTTTCCGTGAAGCGTGGTTTCAGATGTCGTGGAGCAAGAGTTCGATCTGCCACCCGTGTTCAGCCTGGGCTGGCCAGGCTCCCTGGGCCCCCGGCATGTCCCCAGGGACGAGGTGCAGGCAGAGGTTGGGAGTCACACGGGTGCTAACTGCCCCTCTTCTGAGGTGGAAACAGCGCCACCCTCCTCTCCCCTGGGAGCCCCCGCCCGGCACAAGGGCACCTCACAGTGTTAGGGACCCCCCACTCACCAGTGCAAAATGGGGAGAGGAAAGGAACCTGGATAGAGGGGTTGATCATTTCCTGTCTCTTACCCTCCCAGAACACACCTTTAGGTGGGTGTGCCGAACACTTGATGAAGATACACACATAACCAGCTGCACAGGAGTAGTTTACAAACAAGGCTCCTGTTCCCCCCACCTCTTCGCTCTCTCACCAAGACACCTTGGTCCCCAGGGCGTGTTGACAGAGGACACTTGTTAGCCTGCAGAAGCTTTGAGAAGGGAAGTTTCTGTCAGCGCAAGGAAGTGGACTGTGTCGTCAGGGAGGGCGAAGGAGGTCACTGTACTTAAAAGGCAATGGGTCTACGTCTCTTTGGGTTAAGGGAGTCCCAGAAACCTTCTAGGGTCTCAGACTACAGCCCTGCCCCCAGCCAAAGCTGGAAATGCCCCCCCAGCCCCACCCCCACTGGCTCAGCACCCTCCCTATGGCTTAGTTCCCCTGGACCCGTGACTCACCGGGACACCTTGGCCTTGGGTCTCTGTTTCCTCCGACTGCAATGCGGATGGGCACCTTCAGCTGGGCTTGGGCAGCCCCCGGTGACGGGGGTCGGAAGAGCTGTGCTGCTGGCTCGATCCTCTCCTCCCATGCCCCACTCAGGGGTGGCCCTGCTCATGGTTTGCTCCTCGTCAGCCTTGGTCCCCAGAGAAAACCCACCAATAGGAGTGTGTGTGCTTGTGTGCGTGTGAGCCATTACCAGGGAAAGGACACATTGCGTAAGGTCATGCTGCAGAGATTCTCCTTGGGCGGGCGTGTGTTTTGGGTTAAGGTAAATAATTCCATATACGGGATAAGCTCATTAATGCCCGAGACCAGGAGGTGAGAAAGAGCAGTCTTTCGACCCTTTGGAGCGCAGTCCTTTCCCTCTTCCTTTCCTGCTTGTGTCCTTCCCCAGCCCCGTGGCGGCCGCATCCTCCCGGCCGCCCCCTCCCATGGCCCTGACTCTCACCTGCCTGTCTGGCCTGCAGCGCAGTTTTCGCTCTCCCTTTTAATTGTTTTATCCTCATCCAAGGACATTTTTTTCATTGCTTTTAGAGAGAAGGGAAAGGAGGGAGAGAGAGAGAGAGAAACATCAGTCTAACAGGGAAATGTCAACTGGTTGCCTCTCGTGGGCTCCCCGACCAGGGATCTAATGATCGAACATCGCTCCGGCCATTTGGGCCACACAAGCCAGGGCTCCCTTTTAGTTTTTCTGCAAAATACTTATCTGTAAAATGTCCTGAACGTACATTCCTGACTGTCCCCGAGTCCCTGCGTTGCACAGGGAGGGAGTCTGACTCTGTTACATCAGCCTCCCCCCGGATCACACGTTTAAAGGGAGGATGGCAGAGAATTGTGGCGTTTTCCCACTGAGTGAGACCCCGTAGCGAGTCCCGATTTGGGGTGACGCTGGAGCTTCCCTGCTAACCTTTCTGTTGCTCTCCATGACTTCCTCAATGTCATAAACGGGTTCTCTCTCTTCCGAAGATGCTGCTGCCGACGGGGCCACCATTTCCTGGAAGGAAAATTTTGATTCGGCTTACACTGAGCTGAATGAGATCGGAAGGTAATGACCCCGTTTGCTCGTCCTTTGCCCATGCGCACATAACACCGCACCAGAATGATGACCCGCTTCTTTTATGTGTTTCTTTTACCAAGCGCATTCTCTCTACCGTAGGAAAAACAAGACTACTTACATGTACTTGCTTCTGCCCTTTCTCTAACTTCTGAAGTTGGAGGTTTCCCTCGCCAACTCTCGGCCTTTTTTCTTTTCTGATATGAGAATTGAAGGCTCAACCTTTTCTTCAAACAACAGTTTTAGCTGCATCTCCTCGGTTGCTCTGTGGCCTTTTCGTTTTCATTCAGTTCTACGTATTTTTCCTACACCTGTGATTTTTTTCTTCGATCCAATAGAAAAAATAGAAATGTTTTAAAATTCTAAATGTACGAAGTTTTTACAGTTATCTTCTTCTTACTGATTCTACATTGCATCACAGTTGAAGAAGTCGGTCTATCTGACGCCGACCCTTTGCTAGGGGGACACTTGCTGTAGGAGTAGTAGGCAGTGGGATTGGGTTAGAAGTTTCACGTGTTCCTGAGAAGAGTGGTGGAATCACTCATTGTTGGGTGCGGATCTTCGTGGGTGGACATGCAGCGAACCCAGTGTTTTGTGGACATTTCCAGTCCAAGTGCTCACACTCTCTCTCTTGCTCTCTCTCACTCTCTGTATTTTGGTTATAAAAATGTGTCCTAAGAAACAAAAAGGATAAAAGTATGACTTTTAAAAGAATAGTGAAAACATGCACCATCCATCCCACAAAGCAGTTAATGAAAAGGACCAAAAAGGGGGCCGTCCCTGTGTGTGCATTGGCCTCCAGGGGGTCTCAGTGAGGAATGTGGCGGTGGGTCTAGGAAGTCACTGGCCACTTGGGTGTGTAAAGGGAAGAGCACCGTTGGCCGCATCTCCGTCCCCCGCTGGCGTCCCCAAGTGGAGCACGGAATCTCCTGAGCTGGTGGCTGGGACAGAGTAGAAGGAGCCCAGGTCTTTGTTGGTCCCATTTTTCAGGCAGTGGTCACAGTGTAAATCACTGCTTTTCCCTGTAGCACCTCTCACCAGAAACAGCAGCGACAGCAGTGACCTCGGCTTTACTTTGCCATCTTCTTTGTGTAGACACAAGGCGGACAGACATTTAAGTGGTGTTGACGAGGGTGAGGTGCTTATGGAGCATCTATAGTGTTCCAGATACTGAGTGAATATTATGTAAAAGTTACTTAATCCGATTCTTCTGTTACACAGTGTTTGGGTAGATTTACAGTACCTGTCAACTCAGTACTAAGGGGGTTAAGTAACCTCTTCAGGGTCCAGGATTCAAACCCTGGGCCCTCTGACGCTGAGCCTGTGCTTAATTACTTGCAGATGTTGTTTTGCATCACAGCAACTTTGGGGATAAATAAGCAGTAGTCACTAAGACCTAGTTTGCTCCATTATACTGAAGTGTGTGAAGCTAGATATGATTCTCATCATAAGCAGGTCAGACTGGCTCCATCCCCTGGACGCCCCGGGGAATTCCTCTCCAAGACGTGACTCTGCTGTGGGCGGCCTTGGGCTAAGGACTGTTTCAGCCGAAGAAGGGATGGGTGTTTGGGTATTTCTCAAAGAGGAGATCAGTGCTCTGATCTGTTCAAAGCAAGCAGTGGTTTTTCAAAAACTACATCTCCGACAACCTGAAATTTTCCCTCTCTCCCTAATTTGGTCCTTAAATTTTCAGAAGATCCTTTAAACCAGGGATGTCAGACTCATTTTCACCGGGGGCCACATGAGCCTCACGGTTGCCTTCAAAGGGCCAAATGGAATTTCAACTCCTTAACTGTTAAGGAGTAGTTACATTTATACAGTCCTGAAATTATTTCGGCCCTTCGAAGGCAACCGCGGGGCTGATGTGGCCCCCGGTGAAAATGTGTTTGACGCCCCTGCATTAGACACACTGTACGCTAATAGAACGGAAACCAACATGCCGCCACTTACGAGGGACACATGCAGGACGATCGTGCCAGGGCTGTACCAGTGACCCGGCTTTCTCCATGACACCTACACCCAGAATTCTAAGCATGCGTGGCTGAATATTACAAAAATCGTGGTGCAGAAAGAAGTACCTTCACTCCTACAGCCCAGTCGTGGAAGCCCAGAGCACGCGAGCACGGCCTGGCAACTGGAAGTGACCTGCACAGGCCCCGGGGCAGCTCAGGGAGGCCGCAGTCCCCGTGGGAGGGAGAGCTGGCCGCTCACCGGCGCAGGGTCCAGGAAGGCAGCGGGACCAGGCCCCCCGGAAGGATGGCGGTTGAACCAGGCGTCTGTTTTCACTCCCTCCTCAGGCTTCTCTAGATCTCCTGTAAAAGAATTTTTAAAGCCGGCAGGCACATAAGGATGAGGACGTCAGAAGGGACAACAACAATAAACTATCAGACGCAGCAGAACAGGTTGAAAGAGTGGCAAATAACCTGGGGAACCTGAGAAAACTCGATCCAAGTCCGTTGTGGGGGCAAGTGCGAGTCACAGTAAGTGACAGCAGAATTCCCCAGACGCCCAGGTACTGGCAGCACCCAGAGCCTCTGGGAATGGCATGAAGAGGGTGCTCCCCTTGGCAGGATTGGCTGAACGCCGTGGGAGGAAAGGTTGCGGCTCAAGTCTCCTCCCGAGCCTCAGGCAGCTGCACAAGGGCCCTTCCCCATCCAGGAAAAGGCCTGGGGCTTACTTTCCGGGAAGAATACAGCAAAGGGCCTCTGTTCTCGGGCTCCCTGCACAGTGAGGGCAGCAGAGCCCTGCCCCTAACAGGCTGATTATGAGAGTACATGCCCGCTGGGTGCTGAGGGGCCCGTTCTCCTCCACTCTCAGATCTTTCAAGCAGCTTTTGAGTCCCCACTTCTTAAAATCCCACACTAGCCAAGATAGGGTAAGCCCCTTGTAGCCTTTCCCTGTTCTCTCTCTCCCACTGACCTCAAGCAGAATCTCGAGGGGGAAAATGCAAAAAGCAGCTAGTGAGAATTCTGAGAAAAAACAGTAGCAGGGACACTGGGGAAGGAAGCCAAAACTTGATGACAAACAAAAACAGTGGCTGTGAATTTTCTGGGTTTTTTTTTCTCCTTTGACCTGAGGGTGGGCCAAATCTGGACACTGCAGCCCACAGAGAGACCAAACACCCCAAGACAGATCTGTCTCTCTGGCCAAAAGACAGGGCAAGGGGTCCCTTTGAGCTGAAAAGAGCAGGGGGCCTCCCCGGTCCCTCCTTCTATCGCTCATCGCTTTGCCCCCAGGGCGTGCGTGGAAAACAACAGTCTGGTGAAGTGGGGGGCTGAAACTCTCAGGCAATCACCTCTTTCCGGCCAGAAGAACACTAGTCAGGGCTGAGGGAGCCAGGGAGTGTGGGGAAATCTCAATGAGGGACCTAACAAAAGGTTAGAGTTTGAATGCTTTGGACATTGACAGTTAACATCATCAATTACACTAGAAACCAGAAGGCAAGGAAATAATTCCTTCAGAATTGTAAATGAATTTTTCCACCTAGACTTGTATTCAGCGAAACTAACGATCAAGTATGTAGGTAAAATAAGCACACCTCAGGAATGCGAATCGCAAACAACTAATTTTCCCATGCAGCCTTTGTCAGAAATGACTGAAAAGTGCCTTCTTCCACAAAAAGAAAAAATATTCAGTTTACTAGAGGTTCAGTTGTAAATAGCGCTGACATAGTTCCAAGAATATAAACGCTAAAATGGATTGCAGTATAATTCTGTGGGGAGATAGGGGGTGGGATAGTGGCTATGAGGTGGAGACAGAGGAGGAAAGTCACTAAAGTCCCACCTTTCATAGTGGGATGTCAACAGATAGTCAGTAAAATGGAAAAAAATCAAAATGTAGTCACACAAAACATACTGTATTTATAGTCCTAGAAGTAAATACCTAAAACCTAAATAATCAGCTAAAATAGATTAAACTTGTATATTAAACTGCTTCTCGAGAGGAAGATGGGGATGGGTGGGATGATGGGATGCTTTTGTTTTCAGGGACAAACCCTTCAAGGTTAAATGACTTTCTAAACCGTGGGGGTGCATAATGTTGATACACACAAATTCAATCAAGGAAGCAGGGCTTTGTCGGGACTGTGAAGTTCAGGAGACCTTGCATTCAAAGTCCTCTGGAAAGACTGACTTATAATAATCAAACTCATGAGAGTGCAGTTAAAAATCAGAATGACTGTTAATTCATGATGTAAAATAGAACTTCCAGTCTGACCAAATCCTTGTTCATTATGCCAAGAATGATGTCTGGTACAAAATAGGCGTTCAATGAACATTTGCCTGGTACTTGTTTTGTTAATTAGCACATTCTCTCTTTTGGAGAAAATCTATAGCAAAAAAAAACTATTGTCAGAAAGTTGCTTGGAGAGCACAGAGCCAAGTCAAGGAGCCAGCCCTGGTCACGGTGTCTGGTGTGTCCACTTCCGCTGTGGGCACAAGCGGCTCTTCAGACCCTGCCCTCCTCCGCTCACGAGTTAGGGCGCCTTCTGCACAGGCCTTGCGGGCACTGGCTTGTCACCTTTTTGACCCTCCCTTTCTCTGCTTCCATGCTGATCAGCCCACCCCTTTCTACCGCTCTCTCACTCCCTTCCATAGGGCTACAGCTGAGTCTGGGAACTTTTTGTTTTAGATGGCGGTGAATTTTGTCAGATGTAAAAATAGAATGGTGGTTACATCCTTGTTAAATGTCCTTGTCAATTAAAGATGCACACTGAAGTTTAATAAATAACACGATATCTGGATTTTGCATAAAACACTTCAAAAAAAAGCAGAGGGGGGAAAGGAATAAATGAAATCGAGTTGGCAAAATGTTGATAATTATTGAAGCTGGCTGTTAGGTGCATGGAGTATCTATTACAGCATCCTCTCCTGTTGTACAAATTAGACATTTTTCATAATAAAAAGATAATAAATATAAAATTAAACTAAAAATGACCTCTTTAAAAATGTTTTTGAAATGATCACCAGTAGAATTCCTCCTTCTTTAACACTGTTACTATCATTATTGAAGTATTTTATAGAAATATACTCTGATTAGAAAAGAAAACTGAACCTGTGTTTGATGTTCCACAATGACAGAAAAGTATATTGACTAAAAAATGCTATTAGTTTTTATGCTTGTCATAGAATCCTGAAATGCGAAGGAAGGAAAAATGGTGGATGATAACATTATGATTAAAACTACAGCCCTGGCCGATGTGGCTCAGTGGATTGAGTGCCAGCCTGTGAGCCAAAGGGTCACAAGTTCAATTCCCAGTCAGTACACATGCCTGGGCTGTGGGCCACGTCCCTGGTTGGGAGAGTATGAAAGGCAACAGATCAATGTTTCTCTCACACATCGCTGTTTCTCTCCTTCTCTCTCTCCCTCCCTTCCCCTCTCTCTAAAAGTAAATAAATAAAATCCTTTAAAAAATACAGTAGTACCCCTCTTATCCATGGTTTTACTTTTCACAATTTCAGTTACCTATGGTCCACTGTGGTCTGAAAATATCAAATGGAAAATTCCAGAAATAAAAAATTGTAAGTTTTACATTGTGTGCTGTCCTGGGCAGCCTAACGAGATCTCGTGTCTCCCCACGCTGCCCCACGCAGGTCGTGAGCCACCCCTCTGCCCAGCACGTCCACACCGCGTCCCCTCCCTGCTGTGAGGCTCCTACAGCCGTCGCAGTTACCAGGCCAGCTGTCGAGGTGGCCAAGAGCGTGTGTTCCTGTCACCCTTGTTTTACTTAGTAACGTTCTTGAAGCACAAGAGCACTGACACTGCCAATTCGGAAATGCCAGAGAGAAGCCATAAAGCACTCCCTTTAGGTGAAAAGGAAACAAACACACTATGTGTAGGGTTCAGTACTCTGTGGTTTTAGCGTTCATAGACGGTCTTGGAACACAGGCCTCTGGATGGGCAGGGGGCGGCTACCGTACAGGAAAACAGAATTCCTAATGAAATGTTACTATCTGACCACTTCAGAAAAAATGCCATACATCCTGAGTAAAGTAATGGCTACTTGATTAATGAATCTTTTTTTTTAATTTTTATTTATTTATCTTTAGAGGGGAAGGGAAGGAGAGAAGGAGAGAAATATCAATGTATGGTTGCTTCTGGTGCATCCCCTGCTGGGAACTGGCCCCTGCTGGGAATTGGCCTGCAACCCAGGCATGTGCCCTGATGGGGAATCGAACTGCGATCTTTTGGTTCACAGGCCTGTGCTCAATCCACTGAGCTACACCAGCCAGGGCTGATTAATGAATCTTGACAAAATGCTTTCTCCCTTTGGTTTTCTAGAGGCCGTTTCTCCATAGTAAAGAAGTGCATTCACAAAGCTACCCGCAAAGATGTTGCTGTGAAGTTTGTTAGCAAAAAAATGAAGAAAAAGGAGCAGGCTGCCCACGAGGCTGCCCTGCTGCAGCACCTGCAGCACCCGCAGTACGTCACCCTCCACGACACCTACGAGTCTCCCACGTCCTACATCCTGATTCTGGAGCTGTAAGTTCAGGGTCATCCCTAAGGTGGGCCCTGCTGCAGGGCTCAGTTACCAGCAGTTCTATCTAGTGCAGTGTCTTATAGTCTCCAAAGTGCTGTGTGTCAAAAGCACTCTGCCCTCCATTCTATAAAAATGCTGTTCTTATTTTATAGATCAGAAAATCAAGGATAAGGAAGCTTCTTAAAACTAGGAATGGGAAAAGCTGGGACTGGAACCTGCATCCCTCTCACCCCAGTTTTTATTTTCTTTCTGTTATGGACCTTTGAGCTGGGCAGTCGAGGAAAAGCTTGTTGACGGTGGGCTTACTGACAGGGGTGCAGTTGAGATGAAAGGGAGGGGCCTGTGAGTCAACCCCCACTGTCATCTACCACCCAGGAGATGCTTCTGGGGCAGAACCTTACCTTCAAAACATTGCACTCATTCCAGAGTTTCTAGGGACTCGGACAGCCATGTAGTTGGCCCCAGGACACATCAAATAAAGCAGAAAGTTCACATTCTTCTCACTACCCCAAGCTAAGACCAGAGAATATGCTCTGTGCTTTAGAGAGATTTTACGCAGACTAAAGGAAGTACTGAGCCCTCCCAGAAGGGCTATCAGATTGGTGCTGATGAGGCCCTGGGCCTGGAGAGGAGATAGACATTTGTACCTAAGACCGGTGCCATGTAAGGCTTCACAGGGACCCCCATTCTGTAGAGAAGCACCTCCGTTTACAGCTTTGCAATGTCGTTTTTGTCTTGTTTGTGTGTACTTGTTAGTGTAGCTCAACACTTTTCACTGGTGTGCTGCAAGAACTTTTAAAGCACACGATACCACCCTGACCGGTGCGACTCGGTTGGTTGAGCGTTGTCCACAAAGTAAAAGGTCTCCGGTTCGATTCTCGGTCAGGCTACATGCCCCGGTTGGGGTGCATGTGGGAGGCAGCCAGTCAATGCCTGTCTCTCTCTCTGTCTCCCTCCTTTCTTTTCTCTCTAAAAATAAATAAGTAAAATCTTTTAATAAAATATGCCATACCTGACTACTGAGTCAGGAGCACTAACCTCTTTTCCCTAGACTACCAAATAAAAACTGACAACAACCAACAGAACAACAGCCATCCGGTATGAATGGACCCAAATTATACCTGTGTTTTTGTCAGATCAGCCAAAACGACATTTTTGGTGTGCCGTGGATTTTTAGTAATTGGTTTACGGGTGCACTGGAATGGGAAGGGTAGACAGTCGCTGGTCTAGCTGTATATGTACGTGGGTCTTTGAAGAAGTGATTCATCGTAACTTTATTTATGAAGAAAAAAAAAAAAACCAAAGTGCAAACATCTTAGGCTTAACTTTTAAATTGGCTGGAAAGAAATGAGAGGAGACAAAACAACACTGTTAGTATCTGCAATTCTTTTGTGATACAAATACAGCTGTGTAGTTGCCAGTACATGGTCACTTGGGACTTAACCAATACACTTAAAAACAGCCTTTCAGAGCCTAACCTGTATGAGAGTTTCCTGACTCAAATAGGTGTATTCTGTTGACAGTGAATTATCTTTGTTTACAAGTGACAACTTGCTGCACTTGACTGTACTTCCGACAAAAGGTATTGTCACCTGCATACCAAAGTGGCACAGCGACCCAGATTTGCAGGCCAGCGTCGCCTGGGAAGGTGTGAATTCCCAGGCTCTCGGTGCAATGGAATGAAGAAACTGGCGCCAACCCCAGTTCTGTGATTTGCAGCCAGTGTACTTGGCTTCCTGGACCTCAGGGGTCCTTATCTGTGAAGTCTTAAGAATTATTCCCACTTATCAGAGATGGTGCAGCAATTAAATTAGATGAATATTGGATTACATTAGTTTCAACATTTACTGGGCACTCGCTATGATCTGGGCCAGGGTGGGAGGAACAAAGATGAAAAAATAGTTCTTGACCTTGAGGAGTTATAGGTGGAATGAGGAAGACCAACTGCTAATTTCAATATAGCATGGTAAATGCGTGTTTTGGAGAGGGCTGCTCTGAGAACATAGGAAGGGACTAGGCTGGACCTGAAGTTTAGGTAGGACTCATAAGAGGCAGTTCCTGTGCTAAATCTTCCTTACACTGTGACTGAGTAGTTCCCTTTCCATGGCCACCCAGTCACTGGCAGAGCTTTTCTCTACCAGGCAACTGAAGCAGACAACTGAGGTTCTGATCCTCTGGTCTGTGGCAGGGCCTGGGCATCTGCACCACCCAAGGGCTCTAAAGATGAGCTTGGTCACCGAGACTTTTGGATCTCGCAGTAATGCTGTTGTTAATTTCTCCTGTTAGTGCTCCAAGAAGCCCAGAGGGGTGCATCCAACAAGCCCAATACAACTTCACTCCACGCTCACCACTCACACCCCAACCCTGGCAGAGACAGAGAAAGGAAGGCAACACAGATTTTCATTGGTTCTAACCTTTGCTCCCGTCAAAGAAAGCAGAATAGACCAGTCGGAAGGAACAAGCTAGGGAAGAAGTTGGAAACTTGGCTGGGGTCCGGGGGTGGGGGCGGTTTTCAGTGGTGCTTGGAAGTAGTTTCTGACTCTTGCTCAAGCTTGTTTGCCTGGGCATTTCCTGGGGTGTGTTTTTCACAGCCCCGTGCACTTAGGGAGTAGGTGCCTGACATGTGGTCACTGCTCGCTAAACAGGACACAAGCCACCTGAAAGTAGCTGGCATTTATTGAGTACTTACTCTTGCCACCAACTGTGCGTAAATGCCTCTTCTCTCTTGATCCTTGCACGTTCTTCACAAGGAAGTGGGTAATTCAATTTGGGATCGGCCGGGCTCCTCCTACCTTGTTTCTTTCACAGTTTTTAAGGTTGGAAAATTGCTAAAAGGCAAAGGATTCAAAAAGGGGTCAAGAATGCCAAGGCTAAACTTTGTCTACTTTTGGTTTTTCCCCAATGAAAACTTGACAAATAAAAGCAATTTGCAAGACATGTGGGGCTGTTTGTAGGCAGGCACCAGGTTCCTGTTAATCAGGATTTGCCCAGATAGCTCTCAATCTCTCTTCTTCTCCCCATCTGAAGACTTTGTTTTGCAACCTAACCTCTCAAAGGATATTTGAGTTAGAACTTTTAAAAATTAACAAAACAGCCTGGCCAGTGCGGCTCAGTTGGTTGGAGTGCCATCCCATAACTGAAAGATCGCAGATTCAATCCCTGGTCCAGGCGCATACAGCAGTCAACCAATCAAAGCTTCTCTCTCACATCGATGTTTTCCTCTCTCCCTTCCTCACTCTTTAAAAGCAATGAAAAAGTGTCCTCAGGTGAGGATTAAAAAAAGTTAACAAAACAGAATGTGTCTTAAACAAGGTTATATAGCTTTTTTCCCTGAAGTACACCACATGTACCATTTTATTTACTTGCTTGTTTATTTATTTTAGTTCTGAACATTATACTAACTTAGGACTCTAACTAAAATATGCCTGTTTTACCACATTGATCTTTATCGTAGGGAGTGGGAAAGATCTTACGGGTTTGTATGTGTGTTATTTTTCTGTTTTGTTACAAACCCATTTCCTTAGCCTTTTCCTCCCTATTTGCAGGATGGATGATGGGCGGCTCTTAGACTACCTTATGAATCACGATGAGCTCATGGAAGAGAAGGTAGCTTTCTACATCCGGGACATCATGGAGGCCCTGCAGTACCTTCACAACTGCAGGGTTGCTCACTTGGACATCAAGGTAATAAGAAACAGCAACCCTTGCAGGGACATGACGAAGTCCAACCTGCTGGTCATTGCCCCTGAGATATGTAAATGCTAATTCATTGTATTTACTTAGATTAGAATCCTCATGAATATTAAACGAAACTAGGTTATCACACACTTCAAGTGTATTATTCATGAGTTAATGAGAACACAATGACGCAACGACGTTTGGAGTGAGAGGAGATACACAAGCTTTGGCCACTAGGTCTAATTTCATAGAAGAAAGCAAGTAAATGTCAACTTTTCCATGATGCTAAAAAAAAAAAAAGCCTCTGTTTTCCAAAATGAGTAATTTATTCTTCACTTGAATTAGCGCAGAAGCAGGGAGTAGTTAAGAGACACGATTTTCACGCACACTCACTCAGTTTAGCTTAGTTTGAAGCCTCCTGTACACTTTGAAGAGGGAATGTCCCAGGCGCCAGGGGTCCCACCCCCGTGACCTCTTAGGACCCGCTGCAAGCAGAGCTAACCTGAGCTCCGCCTCCCGTATGCTCCCCCTCCCCCACCCCGCTTTCCACGCCACTGTGCCCTGGCGCCCAAAAGGTTGGGGACCAATGCCATTTGTTATAGGCTTTATCAAAGAGTAGCAGCGCTGTGTTTGAACTAAAGGAGTCCCGCTGAGAGTCAAAGCAGAGAGCTGAACTTGCCTTCCCTTCTCCCTGCCTCCTTGCATCTCCTCAGCCCGAGAACCTGCTCATTGACCTGCGGATTCCAGTGCCTCGGGTGAAGCTCATCGACCTGGAGGACGCTGTCCAGATCTCAGGGCACTTCCACATCCACCACCTGCTGGGGAACCCTGAGTTCGCTGCCCCGGAGGTGATCCAGGGCATCCCTGTGTCCCTGGGCACCGACATCTGGAGCATCGGGGTGCTGACGTACGTCATGCTGAGTGGAGTCTCCCCCTTCTTGGATGAGAGCAAAGAGGAGACGTGTATCAATGTATGCAGGGTGGACTTCAGCTTCCCCCATGAGTACTTCTGTGGCGTGAGCAACGCCGCCAGAGATTTCATCAATGTGATCCTGCAGGAAGACTTCCGGAGGCGGCCCACAGCAGCCACCTGCCTCCAGCACCCGTGGCTGCAGCCCCACAGCGGCAGCTACTCCAAGATCCCTCTGGACACCTCCCGCCTGGCCTGCTTCATAGAACGCCGCAAGCACCAGAACGACGTGCGGCCTATTCCCAACGTCAAGAGCTACATCGTCAGCCGGGTCAACCAGGGGACGTAGCCATTGAGGTTACGTCCCAGCCCTTGAGGTTTCACATGGAAGCGCAGTGTGAGCCAAAGCAAGACTGAATGTGTCTGTAAATAATTCTGTTCATTATTTCACTCCATGCAGTTCTCTGGATTGAGAGATGGCCCCTCTTAAACCTCGTCAGTGGTTATTCAGGGTCTGAGGTAAAATCACCCGAGACCCAGGGCTTTCCAGAAGGTCGTTCACAAGAGATAAAGGAGAAAGTCACAGAGAGTATTACAAAGAGGGCCAAGGATAACAAGAATGTTAGCTGTCACAAAACGTTAATTGTGCATTCCCAAATGAGTGGGTAAGTGGGCAAAACTTCAGCTCATTGTGGTGAGTATCAGTGCTGAAATTTCAAGCAAAAAGTTCTATTTAACAGAGATGTCAAGTATGCCAACCGTTCTGGTTTACATTACTTATAGTTTCTTAATAAGATTAATATACACACACAGTAAAACATATGCCATTCAGATTTCAGAGTTTTATAATAGAGAGATATATATGAAATCAATCAAAGTGACTTTTTAGTGCTCCAGTTAAGACAGTAATTTATCTGCCGAAGCATTACATTGTTTTGACTAAGCACAATTAGATGACAAGATTTTTAGAGTATTTTATAAATCCTATATAGAAATCTTTACCAGAACCTGTGCATTAAGAGAAAGCAGTTCCCCTTTTGAAATCTGTGAGCTAGAGTTTTCTCTCAGTCACAGGCATCTGACTAACACAGGTTCTGTACGTGAAATGCTGTTCCCAAATCCACTGGCAGCTCAGAGTCAGCCTGGCAGGAAAGCCTGCTGGGAATTAAGTCCGAATTACGGTGAGAGTCGTGAGCTCTTTTTATGCCTACACTTGGTTGGAAGTTCATAGCGAATATAACAGATTCGCGCAAAAGGGCAAACAAAACCTTTTCCACAGTTCCTCTGAACACCTAAGGACACTTTCTGCTGTCCTCTACGGCTGTAGAACTCAGTCCTCAGACAGCTGGTCTACCTGATTTCTAACCCTCGTGGAAGCTAATGGGTGCTCACCAAAAGGAGGCAGCCATATAGGCCTTTTAAAGGCCTGGTCCCAAGTCCTTTTCGAAGCCATGGAATAGAATCTGCTACATCACCCGGAGAGAGCATTGAATTTTAACTGCAATTGCACTGCCTACCACCACCCAGCCATCAGTATTTCCCGGCACTGAAAGGACTAATTGCACTTTGAGGCCAACGCTGCTTGCTGGTGTGCGTTCTCCACACTAGATGCCTGCTAACTGCCCTTTTTTTCTGCTAGTGGAAGAACAGTTAAACCTGAGCATTTCATGTGTTTTCTTTCTTTGTTTTGGAATGCATTTTTGTTTTTGTGTTTGTCCGTGATCCACTCTTTGTTTTCTAAAGTGTGTTTTGAAACTTGCAGTTATGCAAATAATATTTTAAAAACGTAACTCGAGTGTTTGTCCACGTCAGGTTGAATGGCATTGCTTCTCTCCTGTGATAGGATTAAGAACATTGAAATCAGGCAGCACGGAAATGCAAGCACAGAGCTGATGAAGGGTAGATAGAACTACAGACTTAGTTCAATGAAAAAAAATTTTGGAAACTGAGCCTGAACTTGCATATGTAAAAACACTTATTTCCACCGTGGAAATGTAGAATTGAAAACACTCATCATTCTTTCCCACTGATTTCAAAGTCACCTTCCTCATCTACCCTCCAATTCATCCCATCCAAGGTTATAAGTTAATAAATTAATGGAAAGTATAAGCAATAAGACTAGATAGCACTTCGTGTTTTCAGAATTAACCAAATATGCGGAGACTGACTTTGACTATATATGTTTCCTAGTTTTCAAATGGCCCAGGGCCATCAAGGATCCCTTCCTCAGAGAGCTCTCTTGACTAACCCTCCATAGTCTTCATTCAAAAAGAAATGTATACACAAATGCTATATGACGTAATATTTTAAATTGTAAAACAATTTACTAAAAACTCTCTTAGCAATCATGTCTTCATTACAAGACATATCATAAAAGAAGAAAGCCTGGTGCCCTGGCTGGTATGTGATAGAGTACAGGCCTTGGGGGGGGGTCCAGATAGCCACCTAGTGGTAAGTGTGGCTCAGCAAGTTCCCTTCTGTCCGCAGGGGACAGTGACTAAAGAGCCCCCTGCTGAGCCATTTGGAGTGTTTATGACCATGCAGGAGGCAAAGCTGAGTTTCTGCCTGGGAAGGGTAGGGCCTAGGACAGTGGTGCAGACAGCACAGGGGAGTGTTAATGGGGCTGTGTGGTGAGGAGGCAGCTGACAGAATGTTGGAGCCAAAGCTTTTGTATCAGCTTTCACAGCAGAGTGCGGATGATCCAGCTCCCCCACCCCCAGAAAACTTGTTGGGGAAGTGAGGGGACAGGAGAAGAAGGACATACACGTGAAAAGTAGCATGATTTTGTTAACTGGAGCCAAAGTACAATCATTAGAGTAGAATGAATTTAACAGAAGCCTGAAGAGAAAGGGTATATATTTTGTATAGTTTGGTAACTGAAGGAAAACAACAGGGGAGCTCCCTGTCTGCAAAGCTTCTGGTTCCTCCCCACAGGAAAGAGGTAGTAGTTCTAGTTCAAGAATTCTCCCTAACAGGTTGGAGGTAACAAGGACTCCCAGAACAGGTCTGGCGAATGCGCTTTCGGTTGCCCTGTGGGCAAGTGTGGTGAGGCATGAAGGCCTAGGGACCCCTTTCTCCTACCTGTTTTGAAAGAGATATTTGTGTTCGAGAAGAGAAGAAAGAACAGACAATAGTCCACTTCCCTAATTACGGTGGTCCTTGACATCAAAACTTAGAGAGGAATTCGTGAAAGTGAACTTCTGGTTGAACTGGGGAAAATCAGTGTTGGGTAAATTCACACATTTCTTGCTTGGCTTATAGTCACTGCATAGGTTTGGGGGGGTGGTTTTCTTTTGTAAAGGTGGGGTGGAGAAAGAAGGACAAGATCAGGGACAACCCATAGTAATTTTTAAAAGGTATAAGGATTTGCTGCATCTTTTACAATTGTTTCAAATTAAATAGATTTATATCCACTCACAGCTGAATGTGGGAACATTTTTAAGAAAAAAATTGTCACGTTGGCAGTGTGCATCAGGTCTCTCACAGCCATAAACACTCTTGGGGGAGCAGGGGAGGCAGAGAGGCAAAGCCGGCTTCGCTGCTCTGTGGCTCACAAAGCTTTATAACAGTAGTGCCTTTCAGAGGGGAGCATGGGAGACAGAGAAGTTCGTGGTGTTTGGACTGACTGATGTTGCAGCATTTTTTCTTTATTTTATAATATCTTTTAAATGAAAACATCTGAAGGTGAGCCTAGGAATTCTTGAGTTCCAGCCTCCATTATTCCTGATTCGTCCTTTCTAACAGAAAGTCTTTGTGTTTTCTGCCCCCAACGTCCCCATTGTTAAAATGGGGGTTAGTGGGAAGGAGGGTGGACATTACTTTCACGGGCATGTTGGAAGGATACCTTAGTTGGGATGTCTAGATAATACTCAGACTTTTTAAAAAGTGCTACACACTGCCAGTGCTAAGAATTTCATTGACAGGAACTTGAACATTCCAGGTTTTCAATATTCGTGTCTTTAGATAACCATTTGCAAATGCATGAAGTTAAATTCTACAAATTGATTTCAATTGGAAGTACTAGGTGCTCTTTGTCTAAATGTTACTTGGTCTTAGCCTATAAGTTTGATCATTTGAAAGCTTGTCTGCAGAAAAAGGTGAGGAGAGCTGATGGAAGTCTTTATGTCAATGAGCCGTTTTCACTGCTGTTCCTTGTGGCAGACGCAAAGAGTAAGATGCCCTCCAAAGCAACCACTCCTCTCTCTTCTCAAGCCTTGTGCCCTGGAGAAATTGGCAGAGAAGAACCCAAACAGCCACTGTCCTCACTGGGAGGGCAGAAGTGAGAATAGAATACTGTCTGATCTCACAACTCATCATTTCAGAGTCTCACAGTCATCTGCTCTAGAAGGGGCCGATGAAATGCCCAGGTGTAGAAATGAAGAGAACTCTTGGTCTTTGGAGGGGGAAAACTTTGGATCCTTTTTAAAAGATAATTAGGTTTTTCAGGAGTGTAATATTTGCCTCCTCAGAGTCTCCATGATTTAGTGCCTGTGAGCTAGTCATTATTTTTCCCCCCTCTGTGGAAGATCATGGAAATTTGTGAGAATGTGAGGGAGCCATTATACACCAGACGGTGGTTATTTCTGTGTATTAACTAAAACTTTATCCCGTGAGTTTGATAGAGGAGGGGATATTTCACACAGAAGGGGTCTCTGAGTAGGGCAAAAGTGCAAATACCGTTTCTTGCTCGGTTTTGAGGAATTTTGACCTTTTCTCTGCTGTGTGGCATCTCTGTGGAGTCTGGGTGAGGCAAACACAGTATGTGAGCTTTCAGTGGACTATTTGTATTATGGTTTTTCTTAACTATTTAGAGTCTAGGAATCATTTGAAAATGAATGAGTAAACCTGGGGCAGGTTTACACATACTCCACTAAGATAAGGGAAGCTACTATGTTAATATTCGTTTTCTAAAAACTCTTAAGGCTCTCACTGTTTCATTAATTCTAGAGGGTTAAAAGGGCTGAAATTTGTCCACAGCACTAGCCATTTAGAAAATATTATTCATGTGAGAAATCTATACAGAAATAGTAGAACACAGAAATATCATAGGCCATATTTTCTTCTTCATTTTAATATATGTAGAAGTTAGAGGACAAGAAATTAGTCTAAGACAAATTTTCATCTTTAAGGGATATTTATGGGAAGCCTGAAATTAATACTCACAGGTTTTGTGTTCTCCTCTCAGCCTTATCGCTGGGAGAGTTGAAACTGTTGTCAGATTTAGCTTCTATTCGAATATTTGAGATTAACTGTTTATTCAGATAACTGTTATTTTGGAGAGTGAGGATAGCTGAGAAAAGGGAGGGTGGGGGGAAAACATGCAAGTAAAATTCTTGAAGTCCCCATTCCTGTGGCTTAATTTAAGCAAGCCAACATTCTAGCTCAGGAAGAGCTGGCATAAGAGTACCCCCCACGCCTGACTTCTGTCAAGAAATGTACCCACATCCAGGAGTAGTGCACGAACTGTGATGACATCACAGACTGTGGCTGTGAATTTGAAGTTAACAAATACACGTCTTCTTTAACCAGCTGAAGCCATATCTGTCATCTCTGTGTTTGACTCTTGTTTTTTTTTTTAGCCCCGGTGCTTTCCCCTCTGTTTCTGCCAAACTTCGGCCTACTCTGTGGGGAAGAGGAGTAAAACCACAGTTAGGGTGAATGTGAGGACTGTGAGAAAACTAAACCTCCTCTTCACAGTGAGATCCTAGCCAGAGAACAGTAGTGATCAAAATGCAAACCATTGGAAAACATGGATATATGTACATCTGTACATGTATATAGTGTATAATATGTATGTATATGTTATTGCTCATATGCAGAAATCTATCCATTTGAAGATGGCCCAAGGCGGGTCCATTTTTCTGTTGGAAAACCATTTGGGGCCATTCAAAACCATTAGGGCTGATGGGTAGAGTTACATTCTACTGAATTAGGGATTATTTGCTGTCTTTTGAAGTCCACAAAACCAAATCAATGAAGCCTAAAACATAATGGGGCCACCATTTATTATGTTTATATGGAGTCAGAAGTACCTTTATAGTTGAATCATTAACAATTGGTTTGCAAATTGCATTGACGCCTTTTGGTTTTGAGTGACCCCACCCCACCAAGTCTTTTGAGAGTTTGACGTGGCTTCTCTGGCCATTCAGATAAAGGGCCTTATCCATAAGTGGACAGGTTTCCCCATAGAGACCATTACACATATACATATAAGTACATATGTCCATCAGGCTTGTAACAATTGATTTAAAAATCACTCCACAGTATTGATAAATAGCTCTATATTTTCAAGGTGCAGAAGAATTCCACAGCCTTAATTATTTCAGTGTCTTGCTGGTCTGCCTTAAGTGTATCTTCTGGGTTTTGGTTGTCTGATTATTTTTAAATTTTTCTGCAGTTATTCATTTTGTATGCACACAATGTCATTTTGTAAAGGTAGGTTGTATATATTTTATTTGTAAGTCAAATTCACTCACGTGTAATGTTGTAAAGTGATGACCTGCTGTCTTGTTATACTACAGTAAATGTTATAAGTTATGGATGACTTCAAAATGTACATCTCACAAGTTATGCATTCCTATAAATATACTATACTAAAGATTATTATTTCTGGTGGCCTTCTTGTTTTTTTTCTGATTAAAACCTTTGTTCAAAAATCATATTTTTTCTCTCTTTTCCCAAGTATATGAAAGCCTTTCACAAGGTAAACAAAATCACATTATTATTACAATACTTTTTATCCAGGATTTTGCATAAAAAGTAACAATTTTGTAGCCTGGAGAAGTATTCTAAAGCATTTCTTTATTCAAAATATTGCTGAATAAGCCTCACATGTGCATTGTTAATTTCATTCTAGTGTTTCATGGGGCAACTTTGTTAGCAAATTGGAAGGCAATTTGTGCTGGATCTCACAAGTTTATGCATCCTAGTATGAGCCTGAGGAATCTGGATTAGCCCATGGGGACATGGTCAGGCTTTGAAAGACTGTAAGTGCCACCAAAGGGCAAAAAAGACTGACTCATAGTACAGTGTCATTGTCAGTTGGTTAGAGTGTTAGGGATTGAAGTGTTTTGAATGGCCAATAAGAACCAAATGTTTTAATATCTGGCTTCTATTTTATCAAGATCTTACTGCATTTATTTAAAATGAGAAACAAGTGTTAATGCACAGGTTCTTCACACTGGCTCATCAGCACAATCTCTTTAGAGAAATTACATGAAAAATACTGAAATGAGCCCTGGCTGGTGTGGCTCTGTGGACTGAGTAAGAACCAGAGAGTGGTTGATTGGATTCCCAGTCAGGGCACATGCCTGGGTTGCAGGCCAGGTCCTCAGACGGTGGGTGAGAGGCAACCACACATTGATGTTTCTCTCCTACCCCTCTCTAAAAATAAACAAAATCTTCTAAGAAATATTGAAATGAAATCAGAACCAATTTGATGGGTAACAATTATTAGCCTTTTGACTTTATGAATTATTTTCCTTAAAGTATTGCCTTCTACACTTGAGAATTTCCTCCACTTTAAGGCATTTATTTGCCAAGACCAAATTCGCTTGGGTTTTCAGATTAGCAGACCAGGTTACCCCTAGATGACCTTGGTACCGTCAATTCATCCTCCTCTGCTCTCCTCCCTCTCCTCATCAGCTGCACACCTATTACGTACGTGCCAAGCATTAGCGTTTTCTAAGGGAATAAACATGCAGCCGCCTTCAGGGCACGTAGAGCCGACAAAATGAATCAACCTGTTTGGCGCTCTAGAGTCCCATTTGAAAACTGCTCACACCGTCACGTGACCATGAAGTTCAAGGGAGAATTGAGAAAAGGCCCCTGTCTCAGAGAACTTTATTTTTCGAAACCGGATGGGGGGGCGTGGCTAATAAATAACTATATATGTGGCCAAGTGGGAAAGACAATTCAGGGGTCACTAAGCTTTAAAAAGCGGGCAGGATTCACACAGTCTCTTGAAAGGCTTGACTTCCTGATCTTGGAAGCGCTCTAACTCTTCGAAGCTTTACAATCCGTCGATCGCATCCAGCTGCAGCCAGAAGAAGCGTAAACAGCCACCAACACACCTCGCTACCCAGGCTCCAGAGGCGCGCGCGCTGACCCCGCCCGGCCGCCGGAAGGGGACGGAAGAGGCGGGCCTTCTCCGGTGACGTCACAGGAGCGCCGCGGTTCCACCATTCTTTGGTGTGTGTAGCGAGTCTGGCACGAGTGTGGACCTCCCCACGATGTCGGCCACAGATGCAGCTTTGGGGTCCTTGGTAACGGATCTGTACGACGTGCAGGCTT